ATGTTACTTATAAAGGCTTGGTAAAAGTATTTGTGTATCCGTTATTGAATATGATGGATAAAAATTTTTAAAGGCTATTTTTGTGAACTTAAACCCAATTTTCGAAAAAATTTCACCTTTTGTTAAAGGTTTTCACAAGTTTAAACTTCTTAATAACCTCATATCAAAAAATGCATACACAGATCTACTGTAACATATAACAATATAGTTTTCTTCCAAATATCATCCATTTTTAACTAAAAATGAGACGCATGGAGCATTTTCAAAAAACACACAAATAGCGAAAAAATTTGTTTTGAGAAAAATGAATTTAAAGTTTTCCTTCAAACTTACCTTTAATACATGGTCATGAGAAAAACAGCAAATTAACTTTGAATATAAATTTGTAAACATTCGATAACATTTTTGTAAGATTTAACTATTTTTAATCTCATAATATTAAATATGACAAAAATAAACATATGACAAATTGCTAGGTGATTCGAAGTTATACAGGTAAAAACAATTTATGCCGTATACCAATGAAATTTTTAAAAATCACCCGCACCATATGTTTTACCTTCATTTGCTACAATTGCATTATCGTTTAGTGATTTACAATATTTTTTACTATTTCTGTGTTTTTTCCATGCAGGGTAAACTTCTCTTTTTACTTTGGTTCAAGCGACGCTGATCGCGCTTTTTTGCAATGAGTAAGGAAAACGAGTTCACTTCTTCCTGTTCTACGCTTATGGCATTTACACAACCAAAGTTAAATTCATTAATTGTTGATAATACTGACATTTCTAGCCTTTTTTTAGAAATAAACACCTTCTTTAGGGCAATTGTTCTAAATTAAACTATGGATACTTTCATTAGCATTTTGTGTTTTACCAGAAATGCATCTGGACAGCAATTCTGTGCTAGCTAGCCTTTGATAAATTGGCAATATTTGAGAAAGAACACTTTCAGATACTTTAGTTTTCATGGCTTTATGTGCTTTCGGCTGCTCTTCATTTGCTACTGCACGTTGATAAAAACACCATGACAACGTACGTACGGTAGGACATTTCGAATGTTTTTGGTGAGACATCAGTAGATGAACAGTGTAGTAAGCTTGCATAAATTGCAGATTTCATTTTGTCTATATCCGGTATGTTATCTTTTATGGCCTTTCTGTAATAGTTTGTTAACTTTAAAATTGTAGTTTCCTTCAGATTACCTTCTTTTCGTCCACCGATACATATACCTCTGGAACGCAGCTCTTTAACTTTATTGCGCAATCCTGCCCCTAAACGTTTTTGCCACATGATTGATACATTCTTCTTTACTAATTTTTTACGTCATTACCATAAAGATTCAGAGTTAATAAATGTTGATATGTTTTCGCATCCCCATCAGAAAGTATCCCAACATATCGCATATTACATGTACTGATGGACCGTTTCCATAAAATTTCTGCGGCTTTCATTTCCATAGCATTAGACGAACCAGAAAAATTTTTGGAACACTCTGGTTTGTGGCTTTCAAACCATATATGAAATTCCGCACTGTCAGCACCCATATCTCTTTTCGCGCATACACATTCAGGACAATATTTTGACAGAATTTCGTAGTCGATAACTAACCCAGTCAAGACATCTACGACGATACCTATTCCATACAGTGATGTATGCCCACGTTTTTGCCATGTGCCATCATACGACACTGTGATATCTATACACTCATCATTATTTATATTAATTAATTTTTTATGCTTGTTTCGAACAATATTTCGAGGAGAAAACTGAAGGAAATCACCTTTTAGTTTCCCCTTTTCTTCAGACAAACTGTGTAAACATTTAGCAAATGTCTTTTTGTCCATAGCATGAATTCCCATAATCATGGAAAACACTTCTAAGGCGGCGTGGCCTTTGCCTATTTTCAAAAATGCTTCGACAAGTTTTCGTATTCACATCAAAAGTATTTGACCGTTTTACCCGCTCACTTGAAAATGTTGAACTAAATATTTTATCACAGTTTTTACAAACTAATTCAAGTTTTGTAGAATATCCATATATTCCTTTCGAAACAATATCTAAAGAATTGGTTGAGCACTCGTCACACTTTATATTACATAGCAATGGATTCCACATTTTACGATTTATCAAAATATATGAATCATCATTTCGGTTATCACCACAGTCAGACGTTCGTAATAAACTTTCATTCAGTTTCTTTACACTGGCACTTATTGAAGTACTCGCTTCAACTATAGAACTTTCAGAAAAAATTGTTTGTTTATTTTTGGCAGAAACTTCTTCACTGTTCAATGTCACGTCATTTTTCCGAATGAGCTGCCCATCGTTTTTCAATTTTGCTGACAGCTGCAAGTTTTTTTCTTCGATGGTCGCCCTTTAGGCTTACGGTAACGACGACTTATGGCATGCATAATGTACACAATAAATAAATAAATATATATATATATATATACTTTACGCAAGAGGTTATAAATTAATCTGCAGTTCTTCCAGTCCAAGAAACTCAGTTATAAACAGTCCTGCAAAATGTAGTTGTTATAAAACACAGCAAAACACTTTTAGCAAAAGAACTAAAGAAAATAGCGAGGAAAAGCACTTTTAAACTGTAAACAGTGAAATGGCAGTTACAGTTAAAACGTTATATTGCCAGGTTTATAAAGAATTAAATATATAAGTATATAAATATCAGCAAATAACTGTTGAAACATATTTGTTTACATTTTCGCCAAAATTTAAAGGGCAAAGTTTATGTTGTTTACACATTTTAAATGCTTGTAACTTCGTTAAAAATTAGAATATTTGAATTCGGTTTTTTACATACGATGCAGTTAAGTATATGTAATACAACGAGAGTAAAAAAAAAATTTCAATATTTTGGTCGATTTTTAGCTTTTTCAAAGTCCACGGTCCCCTTAAGCCACATACGATTCTATTCAACAGCAAAAATCAACAGCAAAATTATCAAAAACAGCCTATCTTTAGACTTTCCGATCGACAGGCTGGCACGCTGAACATAAAAATGTTTTATTCCGTACAGTGTTGCAACTACTCGCACTGAAATCGTTGAGTTTGTTAATCAAAAATTCTCTAAAGTTTTACAAAATATGAAACAGATAATAAAACAAATTCAAAATTCGTGCTTCCAAGTGCCTATGTTTGATTGCAGAATTACCTTCTTCAAACTCTGGTGGTTCTAGGTACCCTTGTTTTTTCACAATGCGAGAAACTTTCATAAATTCATGCAGATTCTACATTATTTAATTTCTTCAAACATTATTATGTTTAAAGGGGTTGATATTTGTAGCAGCAATTTGAAAGGTGATACGCAGTTTATAGTTATTCGACGCAAAATGCCATTTTGAGACTAATATCCCGTTCGGTACTAACATCCCTTTTGTGCTAAAAATTAAACTCGCAGTCTGATTCATAAAATTTCAGCTTAAAACGTAAGTTCTTCTATCGTCCTTAGCATCCATGAGTAGCATCCGTAAACCATCGCAGTAGGAAACACGTAATTAAAAAATATCGAATTTAAGGGTTTTTGTTTTATTTATGGCATTTATAGTGTTCGATTATCACTGAAATGTTTTCAAAAATCATATGCAATCAAAAAACTGATGATGCATTTGAATGTGATTTACAAACAATAATTTATAACAGAGGCAGACTTTTACTCTGCATAAATAAAAGCTTCAGTTAAAAATAATACGATCATATGACTTTTATTCTTTTTCCTTTGCGACCATATTGCAATACTTTTGTTTGTCTAGCAACCTATCATAAGCTCTTAGCAGCATATCGTTATTTAAAAGATTTAAATCAGCATATCTTATATTAATACATCAGCCTCAGATCGCCTCTAAGGTTTGGCAATAAACAGTGTAAGGTTTACTGCCTTTGACGTATGTGCTTATAACTCAAACTGCGTGGAACATTTAACACCCCCAGGTTGACCGGGGGCTTAAGTCTCCTCAGATTGCCTCTAAGGATTGGCAGTAAACAGTGAGCAATGTCAAGTCTGGGTACTCATTCCTCCTAGTGCACTGTAAGAGAATCTGAACATCTGTACATTAGTACTAGGAAAGTCAGCATCAACATATTTCTTTAAACTAAAATGTTATATTATCTAATACTTTAACAGAACTCGGTATCGGTACATTTGCATTAGCGACGCCCATTAATATGTTTTGGGTTAGTTTACGTGCTTTCAAAGTGTATTTGTATGCACATGTATTTACATAAAAAGTTCCGGTATTTGTAACACGAAATGAGAGGACCAGAATATTTTTGTTAGGAATGTGTATTGCACCAGCATATTTATTTGAACTAGTTAATATACATAATAGTTACTCTATATTTGCGTGTAATTATTTGTAATATCTGAAAGATTGTTCTGTGTCTGTACGTTTACATTAGTGATGCTCGCATCACATATGATTTTACGTACAAATTTATAGTATATGTGACAGAAATTCGACATCACGAAAAATTCCTTATTTCAGCTATTGATAGGTTTTTCACACGGTGATAATGTTTCATAGCCAGCACATTTTTCCATCTCCCTCCAAAATGTTACTCCCTTTATAGTTCACCTTCAATTTTTTTAAAAATTTATTTACTCGCTTTCCTTTGCAAGGACAGAAATTGGTGAGCTTGATCTAAGGCGCTAAGAAATAATTATATTTGTCAACGGTACTTAAAACAGGCCGACAAGCACCTTTCTTAAGCGGACCGGCTATCCGCAGGCGAAGAAAAGAAACGAAAGTGAAAGCTATTGTATTTGTTTCCAGGTCTTCTGCGAACTGCTCCGAAATAATTTTGAGTTCATAAAATATTACAGTATATGCGAAAAGAGATTACAGCTCTCCATAAAATGAAATCTGATTATAATATAGTTCTTTGAAATTTCAGCTTAAACCTGAGATAGCCTGTACATGTGACGTGTCTTCCCTCGACATTAGAAGTATATTTATTATAAGACACACAAGCTATAAAGCAATCATGAGGTAACTTACGACAGATCTTCTGTGCTTTTAAAAGCTAATTATTTTACGATATCAAAATCTTTAATTCGGTAATGCTTTAAGCTAAATCAAGACATGCTTAATACGGTTACAGGAGAAAACATCGCAGCAAAAACGACATGGACGAAAACGTCACTGAGAAACAACGCAAGGCGAAAACGTCGTTGTACAGATTTTACAAGTTTTAAATACATATATACATAATGATTTGTGAGCGCAAGAAGGAATCAGAATTATTTTTGTTTTTATATGTCTGAACTAAACAAAAAAATTTTGTGGAAAACTTAAGAGAAATTTGATATACTCAGAAGCTCAAAATGTATAGAAAACTAATGCTACTTACAGCAGTTGACAGAATCTGATAAGTTGACAATTAGATAACCCCATGCAGTTATTCATTTTTCTTTTTCTAAGCTTTTTTAGATTATGTTTTACATAAAAACTTACCAATAAATCTGAGTAAAAGGTATCAATTAACGAATGACCTTTATTTGTTAACTGTATATTACTAGTTTAAAATTCTATTAACTGCTATACCTAGTGTTTATTTTCTATTAATTTTTGGTTTTCGAATATCCTTCTAACTTTTTCAAAAAAATTATAAGTTATTTCAAAAATATGAAATACAAAATTAAAAAAAATTTGGATTCTTTCTTCAGATCATAAATCACTATGCGAACATGCATTTACAACTTTTAATCCTGAAAAACGCATACCTGCGATGGTTTCCTTATGCTAAGATTTGTAGGTGCTTTTTTTTTTACAACGTTTTCGAAAACAATGCTTTTAAACTGCGAAGTTTTGAACCGCTTTATTTCGATGATCTCCCTCACGATATTTTGTACGACGACGTTTTCGTTTTGCGTTGTTTTCTCCGCGACGTTTCCGTCCACGGTGTATTTTACCGCGATGTTTTCGTCGGCTTAGGCAAACTCGAAAACGTGCGCGAAAGAGGGTGCCCGCGTATAATCGTTAACCCGGCATAATGATTTCCGATTTTCTATTCCTTGAGTGTACGAAAAGTTTCTTAACACACATAAGAAAGTGCACTGGAAAACAGTTCACAGTAGGGGGTAGCAGATGAGTAGAGTCCAACGGAAACACACATGCGGTGCAGGCCTGAGGCGAATTTAAGTGAGCAAGCAGGTTAAGATAAGCAATTGAATGATATTTGTGATTCAAAAAGAAATGCCTTATATTGCCGAATCACAGTGACACTCTCAGATATGTCCTAACAACTGGGTGTGAGTGAAAGTAGGAATATGACAATTTTACATAGGTAATACATATGAGATACAAACAAAATATATAAATATATATACAAACTATGTGCAGACAATTATTTACATACATCAGCAGCATACAGGAAAAGCAGTAAAGTAAGAGTTAATGCCCAGGATTTAATAAGGATGGTATTGGTAATAAAATTTTAGAAATTAATTATTTAATTATCCAGGTATCTGAGGACCGCTAGTGGTCGTTTACGATTGCCATCAGAGTTATAGTTTCGTCGTACACCACTTAAGGGGACTCCTACACCTTAAACCACTCATGATCTTCAAATATGTGACTGTTGCAAGAATTGAGATATTTCATTTATTTTAAAAGCAATTAGTTCCAACTTTTTACAGCTGACTACATAATATAGCTGCTTTGGAAACTAGTAACCAGAAAGTTTGCGTTGCCACAAATATTTTTGTAAATTAATCCTCTTTGTGATAAAATATATCGCCATGTTTCTACCTTGCGCGCATGATATTTTAAAAATGGCTAATGGTACATACTTGAAATTTGATGGAATTCTTTATATGGGCACTATTTTATACTGAACCAACAATCTGATGAATATTTTGATATTGAAAAATTTTATGGACGAAAACATTAAGAATTTTTTAATAAAATACATTTTATAAACTCAACTCAAAATAAAATAAAAATTTAACATGAAATTTTTAGAATTTTAGGTTCACAGTAGTTTCCAAATGTTATAAAAGCTATATATTAAATATGGAATTAAATTATGAAACAGAATGTTTTAAACTGTGCGCGCAAGTTGGAAACATGACGAAAAATGTTGTCACAAAGCGGATTAAATTATAAAAATATTTGTGGCAACACAAACTTTCTGATTACTATTTCAGAAAGCAACTATATTATGTAGTCAGCTGTAAAACGTTGGTAGTAATTGCTTTTAAAATAAATAAGTTATCCCAATTCTTACAACAGTCACATATTCGAACATCATGTGGGTTTTAAGGTGTATGAGACCCCTTAATATTACCATCATAATATATATAATAAAACGGAAATTTTACAATAAAAGGTACTTAAAAATATCTTTTAAATATTCATATATAATTATTTTTTATCTTTTATGTATTCATTTTTCGTATGCTGTTACAGGCAGAACTAACTGATAGGTTATGAATATTTTTCTTTTCAGTTTGTTTGAGACTCATCCTGATGTCCAAGATGTCTTCATGCCGTTCAAAGGTTTGACAAAAGAAGAACTGAGACACAGCAAAGAACTACGTGCACATGGTTTGAGAGTTATGGGTTTTGTGCAAAAAGTTGTGGCTCGTTTGGATGAACCAGCTAAATCAGAGCAACTGCTTAAAGAACTGGGTCGCAACCATGTGATGTACGGAGCAAAAATCGATTATGTGGATGTAAGTTACATTTCTCAATCTAGAATTTATATTTATATAATTTGATTTTATATAATGATAAAATTGAAAAAATATCACAAAGACATATGCAAGTTTTATGTACAGTGTGATTCAAAACTATAGGAACAAACTTCTACGAGAGCAGAGTACACCTAGACGACTCGGAAACACTTAGCAGTGCAGGGGCAGGAATGCTATCCTAACGAGACAAGGTGTGAATGTTCGGAACATTGAGCACATGTTGTGAAAGTGTACATTAATATCGTATAAATATAGTGTATAGTGCATAAGTTATCGTTAAATAAAAGATTTTTTCACTCATTATTGGCTTGCCATTAATGCATTCTTGTTTATCCTCCAGGTGATCAAAGTAGCACGGGGAAAAAAATAGAATACATCGGTATTACTAGATTTGAATGATAACCGGCATTTAATAATCTTAAAAACAAATCCTAACCCCGACTGAAGGTCCCCGACATTTCGTAACGTTGCGGACGAATCTCGGGCGTTTTAAAATGTTGTACCTTCGTGTCTACCGTGGACGTCCGACGAATACCGACGTGTTTCAAAATGTCCGAGATTCCATGCGGTGACGAAACTTTTAGCAACTTCATTATTAGAAAAGTCATGCTTTTTTTAACCTTATGGCCTTTCAATATCAATTTGTCATCCGGATGTATTCATAAATTTCATCCTAATACCTCTGCGAGAAGCTCTCGACGGTTTTCCTGCGACGACCCCTAATATCTCCATTGCATTTGCGACTTGCTTTGCTATGGAATTCCGAGTCGCTTAGGTATACAATACCCCTCCCAGAAGTTTGTTCCTCTAGTTTGGATTCATCCTGTATACAGACGATGGAATTTCGTCGAGTATGTATTTATGGACAAGATGAAAAGAAATTTATGAAAATATTCTAATGCATAGCCCAAGTCGCTCTTTCGAGACATAAAAATTGCAAGTTAAATTTCGTCAATCTGCTCAGTAGAATGGAAGATATAGAACTCTCTCCTTATTTTTAATGTAAGGTGTGCATGTGAACTACTGAAAATAATAATATTGATAATGATGGATTACATTCAATTCGTAATATCATAGTTGAGAAATACTACAAAATCTGTGCATGTAATTTTACCTGATACTTTATGCAGATATTTTATTATTTTCTTTATTTATATCTGTTTTCATTTTCCATCTGTATCACTCGACAAAAGGACGGACACCTCAATGGTGCACTATCTGTTAACCTTCGTGTGGGTGCAATATTATTCGCCCACTTGTGGTGCACCCTAAGCATTATTGTCGACGGCTGAGTAACTGATGGGTTTGGCCATTCAAAACCTGTAGTGAATTGCAGAAAGTGTCATCCATTGGATAAAATCATATTAAAAGGGTAGAACAGCTTTCAATCAGATTAGATTTATTAGATTACAGAAAAGATCATATATGCCTAAAAATAATCATGTCTTCTTGGAATGGAATCTAGAATGGGAACTATCTTGTGTTAACGTTTTCACAAGTGAGAAACCAGAAAAAATACATGTAACCAATCCTGGTTTAAACTGAGGGTAGTATTACTAGTGTTCAGAGATCTTATTCACTCGGCCACTGTCGGAAAGTTTTATTGTATGTGCCAAGTCTGATTGATGATCAACTCTGCTCTACTATTTAAATATCAAATTTACTCAACTATATAACAGCTTATTCATGTTAAGATGCAAGTCATGTAGGATTTGAAAGTAAAGAGAAATCTGCTCAATTTAACCCCATACTAGAGAGAAAAAATATTATTTCACGCGTTCGGAAGCAGCGATTTCTATTTCCAGAATACAGCACAAACGAAAAACAGATGGTTTATTTTAAAATCGCTGTGATGATTTTGATGATTTGTACAAAGATTATAATCTCAGTCAGCCGAAACCACTTGCATGAAACTGAAACATAATATTAATTAATTTAATAGTTTAAAATCGGTACTGTCTCACATCAATACTGCTTTTCAAGAAATAAATGCAAATTACATATTTTCAATAAAAAAATCCTTGGTGAAAAATTGGACCCTGAACGGAGTCGAATCTAGTCTTCGAACTTCCAAATTAATTTTCTGAAACTACAGCTCTCTCCGAATGATTTGAATTTACCCTTAAATCGCGGGTAATTTGGCTAATTAATCTACCAGTACATTTTCACTCCATTCTGACCATATTAATTATCTGTATGCCTTCGAATACACCTTACGTTTATTGATTATATGTACCACGAAAACGCTAATGATTTTTTCCATTCCTTTTATTTAGTCCAGTTTGGGGCATTATTTTTTATCTGCAATATGAGGAATGACGTCTTTCTTTAAAAAGTTTCAAATTCAGAATTAGAATACTTGAAGGCTTAGAAATCCTTTCAGTTCTTTTTCAAATGTTGATTCATTTATTACGTTCAGTATTTGCTTGCCGCCCAGACGATATAGGGATTAGGGAGGTAAACCGCTGAGTTGGCTTCCGACCCAGGTATAGATATATCCATGCAGAATTGGTTACCAACTCAGCGAGTTAACCACTAGCTGCCAGACCGCAGCCCTGGTGCAGCATCGGCTGAGCAGACGATATTTATAAAATGCAACAAAGAATATACATGTGCATACAAGGCACTTGAAGAAGAATACAATCAAAACATATGTATAAACATATACTAAATACCAACTCAAATACATATATATACACTCTTACATACATATACAGTGAATGGATAAAAATATGGAAACACCTTGTGAAATGCATGTTTGAAAAGAAAGATTGATTTTAATGAAATATGTAGGTGGCGCTGGCGTTTTTGACTACTGACGCCACCTATACAACTTCGTAAATGTGCTAAACAGTTCAGTTGTTTTCGGAGTACTGTTATGTGAGGTTGTCATTGCATTATGTCAGAGTTAACAGACTTCGAACGTGGACAAATTGTTGGAGCACGTATGGTAGGTGCTTCCGTAAGCAAGGTAGCCGAGGTGTTTAGTGTTTCAAGAGGTACTGTATAGAAGATTTATTCCGCATATTTAAAAAGCGGAAAAAACATCATCTGCTAAATCACAGCGCGGACGAAAGTGTGTCCTGAGTGATCGTGACAGACGATCATTAAGGGCAATTGTGACGAAAAATAAGAAGACCACAGCTGCAAAAGTTACTGCTGAAATGAATGTTGTGTTACCGAACCCTGTGAGTACCAAAACAATTAGAAGGGAGCTTCATAAACAGGGAATTGCTGGCCGTGCTGCAATTGAGAAGCCACTCATCAGTGATGCTAATGCCCGTAACAGGAAAAGGTGGTGTTTAAGTCATAAAGCCTGGACTATAGAGCAGTGGAAACGAGTAATATGGTCTGACGAGTCTTCTTTCACATTGTTTCCCACTTCTGGCCGAGTTTACGTCTGGAGAACGCCATCTCAAGCCTATAATACAGACTGCTTGTTGCCAAGAGATGAAACATGGGCAGGGGTTCTGTTATGGTTTGGGCAGCCATATCGTGGTTCTCTGCTAGCCCCATGATAACTGTGTCAGGGCACATGACTGCCAAGACTTATGTGAACATTTTGGCCGATCAAGTTCATCCCATGGTACAAACTTTGTTCCCCGATGGTGATGGTGTCTTCCAAGACGACAAAGCCCCTGTTCACACAGCTCACATTGTCCAGGACTGGTTTTCTGAGCACGAGGATGAGTTGTCCCATCTTCCCTGGCCACCACAGTCACCAGACCTGAATATTATCGAACCTTTGTGGTCTACATTGGAACGGAAAGTGCGTTCTCGTTATCCACCGCCAACATCGTTATCTGAACTTGCCACCGTTTTGCAGGAAGAATGGTATAATATTCCCTTGGCAAACATACAGGAGCTGTATTTATCCATTCCGAGAAGACTGCAAGCTTTTTTGGATGCCAACGGGTTTCCTACACCATATTAAGCAAAGAAACCTGTTTTTTAAAGGTGTTTCCATATTTTTGTCCAACCCCTGTATATTCCTAAGCAAATAAAAGTATACATACTCTCACTCATATTTATATATACATTTATACATATACGTTATCATGATAGTTAAATTTTACATGAAGTATGGCATTGAGGTACGTGTGATCCTTAGTATAAATTAGGTACCATTAATAAAAGATATAAACATGTATATAGTACAGCATTCAGATACTGTACAAACTTTGTGTATAAAACATGGCACCGTATAGATACAAAATTACATATTGAACATACATATCACATACTCTGTTTCTGACATATTGAACTATCTTATATAGTTCTAAAGTGCATACTGCTATGCTTTGCAGAGCAAGTAATCTGATTTCAGGTTAACAAATGTACCAGTTCAAGAAGAGTTAATGCGATGAAGGTGCGATGTCTAAGAGAACTGCGCTTAGAAATGGCATTGTTAGAACCTAATGTGTGTTAGACACGACTCAAGTTTGTACTTTATGCCTACTATCTTCCAGCGTCAGAAGAGTAATTGCTAGTACAGTAGTCAGTTATTATTTTCAGTTTCCCCTGCGCAACTCTGTTGCTTTGTGGATTCTGGAACTAATCTGGCCAGAATCTGGCTCCTGGTTGCTTGAGGCTCTTAAGTGCTGTGTGTGTGTGGATGGGGGGTAGGAGAACACAAAATGGTCAGTGATTAGGGGAGCCTACTGCAATACCGAAGGGCGCGGTTTCGAATCCCGAAGAAGGCATGGATGTTTGCAAATGTGTAGAGTCTGTGCTGCATAGGGGCACTCTAAATATGCGGCTTGCCGAATTTTCTCTAGAGAGGTTGTGGTAAGAGAAGAGGGATAGGAGAAGAGAAGAGGGCGGAACTGAGCTAAAAGTGCTACTGTCACCTGTATGGTGCTCAAGTTTCTTGCCAACGACAGGCGCAATCTTATTCTCCTTGCCATGATGAATCTCGTGGACTTGTTTTGATGTTACTGTCAGATAAGTGAGATAAGTCGGAACAATACAAGAGTACT